CCAACACGCACGCAGGAAGCGGTAGAAATTCGGGGGCGCGCCTCGCACAGAAAGCCCAGAGGATTTTTCGTCTCAGAGGAAGAAAGAAGCAACGCCGGGCGACGTGCGGCAGAAGCGAAGGACAACGAGGAAAATATGAAGGTACCCTGAACAAAAAACCGCGCTCTCAGCAAAATGACAGCATAGTGGTTACGACCAGAACACCAGAATCCATGTCGGAGTTAGCCTCCATCTGCCGTGCGTGTCAATATGCGTGTGGACGGTGTACAGCTTCGCTGTACTGCTGCTCTTTGTCTGTGAGGACTGGAGGAAGAAAATGTGTGTGTTTCTGTGTCGGTGTGCGTGTCGTAACTAATGAATGACACGTTTTGTGGAGTAATCACTTTGACCTGAGAGCTGCTGATGATGTCACTGTGTTTCACCGAGAAGGTGCAGGGAGAAGGTGCTGACAGGGGCGCCGTGATGTTTAATGATGGAAAAGGTGGAAGTGTGTGAACAGGAGGAAACACTCCAGTAAACTGAGGAGGGGAGAGGAGCAAGAGGAGGTGAATCATACAAGATAAGAGAGTTACCTAGTTCTGTGGTTCCTACAGAACTAGGTAAATCAAAGGGGAGGCATGTATTAAAGGAGTAGTACTATGAAGGAGTTGTGTTAGCGAGAGGGAGGTGTATTTCAGATAAACAAGCGTTTTACAACGGAATAAGTGTGTTACACAGGGAGATGTACTATACAGAAGCGGGTTCGTTACAGATAAGTAGATGTGTTACAGAAGTGAAGATGTATTTTACAGAAGCAGGTACCGTCATTTTCAGACTATTGAGCTCACCTGAATAAAAGCGGCACCTACGAAATTTAAGAAGACTAAAAAAAATTGTACATATATAGGCCACACTTCAATATAAGCCGCAGGTGTCCACGTTGTAACAAAGAAAGATTTTTTTTCTTCATTTTTAAATAAATAAATGGTTGTTTTTTTCCCGAACAGTGCCTGTAACACGGCTAGCTACATGTTAGCTCTTTCCTGCTTCGGTGCCACGACCATAGTTGGAATGTACATGGAAGACATAGTAATCTGCTCCAGGGCTGAAGCTAACATTAGCTCCCGGGCTAACTCCCTTCACTTTGTTCTTGTCCGCAGCAGAGGTAAACAGAAACAGAGAAGTTGGGGTCTTTATAACCAGCCCCACCGACCACAACAGAACATAAACAGAGTTTTAACAGCTCCTGTTATTGTCCCCCAAGACGGAGAAGTGTGTCCTGATCTGCCTCATTTGTAGACATCTCTTTCTACAACATAACAACTGTATTCCCCACACACACATACGCTCACAGCCATTCACAGACACACGTACGCTACTAGCATAACACACAGTAGCACTACCAGAAAAGTCATTGATCGCTAGCGTGTGGAAAGAGTAGTGGCTTATAGTCCAGAAATGACGATATCTTACAGAAGAGTAGATGTGCTAATCAGAAGCAGGTATATTACAGATGAGTTGATGTATCATAAAGATGCAGTTGTATAACAGATTAGAGTACATGAACTATACTGTAAAGGAGCAGGTTAAGGAGTTAGTTCAAAACACAAGAGAAAATTAGCAAAACATGGTTGCTACTTGAGTTGCTCAAATCACCGTGGGGGCGTCCACTCCAAACTCGGACTATGCAGTTATCTGGCTCCAACAACCAGGTCTTGTTGCAATGGAAGTTTTTTTTTTAAATTGAAATGTATTTTTCTTCAAACATGGGCTAGGGGATGTGGTTTCTACAGCATAAACAAACAAGAAAGTACACAAGTAAACAAGTACAGAATGATTTATTGACATGTACCTGATGAGAGCACCAGTGGGTGTGCACTAATGGACTAATGGACATATAAAGTCAAATTTCAATTTGCGATTTTATTTTCTTGCAGGCCGTAAACACATGCTTAAGTATCATTACACCTAAACCTTTAACATCAAATGAGATAATGGATATATACACACACATAGACAAGAGCACTAAACAAGTGGTGGACTTTCACCACCTGGAGGTCCGCTTCTACCGTCCACCATTTCAGTCGTACCTGTTATCCTGGGAGGTAATATTTTAAGAGAAGAAAAAAATTAAGTAAAAAATGGTCAAGCAATATTTGGCTATGCTGCTATTGACATCAACCCAGAATTTCAGCGCACTCATCAATCTTGCTAAAGGATTATTCCCACCAGGCTTCTTCACATCTGAGGTGACCTGTGAAGCTCTGGAACTTATAATGTCTTTTGAAAATGGAAACTAAACATCAAACGAAATAGGGAGTAACGTAAGGGGCTAATGGTGAAAAGCGAATGCATTGATAAATTAGTCGAAGATTAAAAACTGAGAAGAAAATACCTGTCAACGAGGAATTCCAATCAACACTGGTTTGCTCGTGTAAGCCAGAGAAACATTCTTTAAGATTGGATCTCTTGCGTTTTTTTTTTTTTTTAACATTCGGAAAAAAACAAAACTTGTAAATTCTTGTAGATACAGTGTGCTTGTTATATCTGTAATAGAACACTGAAAATGGGAAAATGTCCATCAAAACAAGTGAGATCTCTACGTGATGATGTACCCTTAGTCCTGATTACAACCAGAGAAAATTTTGCTCAAACTTAACTCAAATGTCTGTTACGTTTTCCTGTTAGTTTCCCTTTTTTTTTCTTGCTCATTTTTTATCTTGTATAATTATTAGAGCATTCGGAAAAAAACACAACTTGTTAATTCTTGTAGATGCAGTGTGCTTGTTATATCTGTAATAGAACACTGAAAATGGGAAAATGTCCATCAAAACAAGTGAGATCTCTACGTGATGATGCACCCCACCCGTGTTTTCGTTTTTTTAAAGAGAATGTTAACCTTTCCATTCCGTAGATATCGTAAATAATTTTAAACCGGTCCTCTAATGATAACAAGTAATATTTTCATTCAGTATTGGATTAAAAGCATTCAATGGAATAATGGACATTTTCCTAACATTTATGAATGTTCCGCCAATGTGAAATAATTATATATATATATATTATATATTGTGAATATTTAGTTGTCCGCTGGAATTTACATATATTTTCCCACACATCCTCAGATATCTCCGTTCCTCCTACCCTCTCCAATTTATTCCTAACTTAAAGGATGCTTGTACCTTAAGAGTCCTGGAAACTTTGTATCTAGATCTAGATATTATTTCACCTCCACTCCACTTACTCCACTGTTGACGGAAAAAAAATATTTACAATACAGTTGTCGACTTTCTCCAATCCCTCGTTCACAACTTCAGTCACTCTGCGTCTCATTTGTAAATACCTAAAAAAAACCTAAAAAAAAAAATCTTTCTTCTCCAATCCATAATCTTTTAAGTGTCTTAAAGTGTCCCGAAACTTTTAAAATGTTCCCTTGTGGATAAAACAACAGTATGCTGTGAGCAAATTTGATTTAAATTTGGTATCTGTTTTATTTGGGATATAATCTGTCGTGTTATGTGCACACCATCGCAATATTTTCTGCCAGGTGTTAAGAGCAGTTTTCGTGAAGGGATTGATCTGGGCTGTAAGGGTGTCTTTCAAGACGTAACATTGAGGAAAATAAAATTTTAAAAAAATCGTATTATTTCATATGAACAGGTCTGTACTTAATTCCACAAAAGATTCACGCGCACACAAACACAAACATTCTGGCACAGGCACACACAAAAAAACAAACAGATCACTCCCTATACACACTGAACTCTGACCCGGCTTATCAGAGAGCCAGAGCGAAAGAATGAACGAGAGGAAGAGGCGAGTGAGGGAGTGAAAATTGAAGGGTGAGAGACATTACAGGAGAAATTAGAACCAGGGAAACATACAGAAAAACACTACTCTAGCCCGTCGATGTCATCTTAACAGGTAACACACACATTAACACACACACAAATACAATTACACAAGGGCACACTAACACACACACACAAATACAATTACACAAGGGGATAAAGACAGAGATATACGCAGGGCGAGCGAGCAGGTACAACTTCCTGTTTATCGTGGCCATCTGTTTTGACAGAAAACAAGGTGTTTCAGGACTGACGGTGCTGGGAGCAAACTTTATTGCTCCAACTAACATCAGACGCATGTTTTTGGGACTACCTTGAACTTAATTCTAACACCCTTTACGGTTATCTTTGCCAGTTCTGCCCTTTAGCTGTTTGTGGGCTTCATTTTAGGCTTTCCGTGGCCATGTTTTGTTTAGTTAGTCTGCGTTACCCTCTGAACACTGTTTTAAATAACTGTATACTGAATATATGTTCATGCTTATTTAGTTTGTTTTGTCCGTTTTACCTATGTGTGTGCTATTTTTTTGTTTGTTTTTGAAAATGAAAAAAAAACAAACCCCTAAAACCCTAAAAACCCAACTCATTTCATTTGGGCTAAGTTTTGCCTGTTTTTTGCCTTTGTCTTTGATGAGGTTTTTTGTTTGCGTAACTTTAACTTTTTTAACTTTTTTTTTTTATTACTTATCACCATATTGTACATAAATGTTTGTTATTAATGCTAAATAACTTGGATTACTTAAATGAAATAATGTATTTATTGGACAAAAATAAAGCACATCTCCGATATATACCATATATCACCGATCTCTCTTCTCTCTCTGTATAAAGACGTGATACAGACTATGTAGCGTACATTTAAAATCGTGCGGTTGCTAGTCACAAAACCAACTGAAATGAAGCTCATTGAGGAAACTGTGTTGTGTGTATATATGCGGTTGCTAGTCACAAAACCAACTGAAATGAAGCTCATTGAGGAAACTGTGTTGTGTGTATATAATATACATATATTTTATATATTATACATATATATACATATATGTTTATTATATGCTACTTTAGTACAGCGTTCGTTACTACTTTGTTACTGTACACCACTGATTAGTAATTCTAGCCTATTTTGTGTTTTGTTCTTTTAACCTGTCACCTTGATGTTTCCTTCCTATCTGCAGGGTGGTCGCAATGTCTAAAGCGACAGTGAAGAAGCTGCACTGGCGCTCAAAGGTAACAACCCAAGTTTCGTCGGACACAAACGACACATCCGCCAGCACACTAGCTCATTAGACAAACTTACATTAAAAACGCTCAAACTTAGCGTTCTTGAAATAGGCCTGGTAATGCACGATAATTAAGTAATAATAGATAATAAAGACATAATAATTTCGCCAGCTTTTGACAAATTTCCATGCGCATGTTTGTTTGTTTTCCTCGTCTCTCGCCTCCAGACAGGCTAGCTCAGGCGTGGGCAAACTTTTTTTTTTTTTTTTTTTTGACTTGATGGCCAAAAAATTGTCCTATAATTAAACAGGGAGTCCGGGTCAGGAGCAGATAGATGGAGCGTTCGTGTGAACTAAGAAATAAATGACATGTAAAAATGCATGCATAAAGGCTAAAATGCTAAAATGCTTTTTTTGTGGGTATTGCAGGGAAAAGGCAGAAATATAATGATAGTATAAACTAATTATATCATTTGGAAAGGTTTGGAGGGCTGTATTAAAAAGCTGAATGGGCTGCATCTGGCCCTCGGGCCTTAGTTTGCCCATACCTGGGCTAGATGACTGGAGGGTTTATGCTGCGTATTGGTTATCAGCACCTGGACACAACGTGCATTATTATGATATAGTATCATTACATCTATATTACATATATATTATCGATTTTCAGCAAGAATTCATGGGACAATATATCTTCCAGCAAAATGCGTTATCACCACTGACCTTCCATCTCCTGTCATCCCTAGGTGCAGGAAAGCTTTGTTCCGCTGGGCGGGGCCTCAGGTGAACTGGGTTTAGCTATTGGCGGTGGGGCCGACTATGGCGAGTTCCCTTTTGTGACCGCAGCCCCTGGAGGCGGGGCCACAGTAGGAGACATAATACTAGAGATCGGTGGTACACCTGTGTTAGGGATGACACTCGGTGATGTCAGAGGAGTCCTGAACTCCTGTCCTCATCCAATCAGAATCAAGACAGTTCCGCCAGGTGAGTGATGATGTTACTTACTGGAGTAGGGTCTGGGTATTTGGTTTTCCTTCTGATTACGCTGATGACGTCTTTTTCTATCTATGTATGTTTGTCAGGGTCGTCTTTGTGTAAAGACCTCAGGTTGTACCTTAGCAAGTGTTTCACACCAGGATCCATGGACAGTCAACTGCAGCAGCTGATCAGAGAAAACCTGTACCTGCGCGCTGTTCCCTGTACTATACAGACACAACCATGAACACCAGCACGTGTACACACTTCAGTATTTTTTGCTCTGCTCTAATAACATCACGGCATCCTTTCCCCACAGGTACAACCAGGCAACCGCGAGATGGCGAGATCTCAGGTGTGGACTACAACTTTGTCTCCATCAAGGAGTTTTTCTCCTTGGAGGAGTCAGGAGCGCTGTTGGAGAGCGGCAAGTTCAAAGGTATGCAAAGCAAAGGTACCAAGTTCACTGTAAATACAGTACAAATAAACTTCCTTTATGTTTATGTTTAAGGTCTATATTTTATCAAAGAAAACTAAAGTCTATTTATTGTAAAAGAGCGCCCTCTGGCAACTGTCAGTGTGAAAATAACAAACATGTTAAATTATATATTTTAATATATAAGTCGCACCTGAGCATAAATTGCGAATAGGGATGTCTGATAATAACCTTTCACCGATATCCGATACGCCGACATTGTCCAAACACTTAATTTCCGATTCTGATATCAACCGATACCGATATAACGGGGGTTAGCGTTTCTCAATTATTTCCGCCATGCCCCCTCTAAGGGACAGAATTCGAATACTATTGAGCGCCTGGTAATATTTATCTGTACAAAACCACTGCATATGTTGCTGGCACCAGCATTCTATATACAATCCCCTGATTATCAATATAGATCAATAAAATGGGCTGCAATGCTGCCATCTAGTGGACTCGAGTAGAGGCTTGTTAATCATTGAAAATGTTCTGTTCCTGTGTTATGGAGTTAACAGTAATGGGTATAGGAAGGGGGGGAATGAGGAGATATGTTGAGAGGGAGTGTGTGTATGAGTATGAGAGTGCGTAAATCAAATACACAATACAGTTACACAAAAAGTTTTTGTGTGATTTTAGATTTTGTTGGGGGTTTTTTTGTGTGTTTGTTTTTCTTTAAATTCAGCAATTACAGTTTTTGATTGTCCTTGTCTAACTACAGGAAATTACTATGGGACACCCCGCCCAGTCCACATTGGTCCAGAGAGTCCTCCGATTACATACCAGGAACATCGTAACCTGCTGAGGAACTTCCGAACCAGAAGCAAGTCTCTGAGTAACTTAGAGAAGACTGTGGAAGAGGGAGAGAACAGTGAAGAGGACAGCAGCCCCTCTGGTACTGTTGACTTCGTCACATTATGATACTACTTTATCATTACACTTACAGTATGTACCAGAGGTGTGGACTCGAGTCTCATGACTTGGACTCGAGTCAGACTCGAGTCATCAATTTGATGACTTTAGACTCGACTTGACAAAATGTAAAGAGACTTGCAACTCGACTTGGACTTTAACATCAATGACTTGTGACTTCACTTGGACTTGAGCCCTTTGACTCGACAAGACTTGATACTTTCT